ATTATTTATATATATATATATATATATATATATATATATATAATTTGTAGCTCTAAGCTGAGTGTGTGTCACATTTTGGTCTGATTGAGAGGCACATAAAAACAAGTCGCGAAACTTAATCGTAAAAAAATAACAAGTGCCTAAATTTGAGGCCCCCTTTGAGCTTATAAAGAAAAAAATAATTATACTAGTTAAGTACTGATAACAGTTATTTGTTTGTTGAATTTCACGCAAAGCTACACGAGGACTATCTGCGTTAGCCGTCCCTAATTTTGAAGTGATAGACTAAATAGAAAGTAGGTAATCAACACCACCCACTGCCAACTCCTACTTTTATTAGCAAATATGGAGACTAACCGCCCCATTATAATGCCCACATGACTGAAAGAGGAAGTATGTTTGGTGGCGGGTTTTGGTCCCGTTAACCGCAGCTTACGAGGGAAGCGTTGTAACGACCAGGCCAATAACAGTGTTGTACCGTTTTCTAACGTAAATTCCAAATGTTTTTCTAATATGTCTTTAGCTCACACGGGAATTGGAGGGGCATGCTCCCCTGCACATTTTTACGATTGGAGTGTCAATTTGGGCCTATTTTTATTAGCATGGGAGGGGCAGTAACACATTACACAAAAGAAAAAAAAACACAGGCGAAATTAATATAAAATAGTTATCAACATTAAATAACGTTTATTTGAAACACTACTTTATTTAACTTAAAACAAAATTAAAAAAACATAAAACTTGCTTGAAATTTACTTGGCTATTTCAGTTTATAAAAGCTAATCACACACAAATACCGAAACCAAAACCTTCTTGGCGTTACTAGCGGCCTAAAACAGTACCATACTAGGAAGCCCGAGGTTAATTAAATCCAAAAAGTTGGGATTTAAATCCATTAAAACCAGTTTATTTTCTGTTGTTGTTGTTGTTTTAATAATAGTGGGGGATAATCGATAAAAAACCTAAAACAAAGGGTTTGAAAGAAAATAACATCTAAATGAAGTGAGGAGTCGAACTGTTTGATTTTAATTTTTGTTTAGTTTAAAAAAAAATTATAAAAGTTTGTTAGTTTCGAATATTCGCACAAACCTACACGGGGGCTACCTGCGCCGGTCGTCCCTCAGTTTGAAAGGGAAACCAACTAGTCAATACTACCAACCGCCAACACTTGGGCTACTCTAATCTAATGATGGAACTTTGTCCGTCACACTTATAACGCAACCATAACCACAAGATATAGAAAGCGATTTTGTTTTTATTTTGTGGCAACGGGACACGAACTGTAGACCTTCGGTTTGTTTGTCTTGAATTTCGCGCAAAGCTTCACGAGAACTATCC